ATTAAACTGATTATTGAATGAATGAAAAATATATTTTCTACAAAATGTATATAAAAATAAATGACTGTAAACAAAACATGAAAGTATATTAAACATAAATTAAGAACTATAACATTGATACATTAAATGAAAAACTCAGGGAGAAAAATACAGCATAATTTGCACTTTATCATTATTAATCTGATTATTGAATGAAAAAATATTTTCTACTAGTTGACAATATAATGATAAAAATATTTGTTACCACCAATGCCGAATAACAGATTTAATGCTAACCATGCCCATAGATTATGGCTAGACCACTTGGTAGCTTTGAAAACTTGTTTTCACATGTATTTAGCTTACATTTTATTTTATTTTACACATATAATCCTGAAGTCATTAAAAATTTGCTTGACAAGTAATGTGTAATTATATTGTTTCCCTGGCTCATGAGTACGTTTCGAATAATTGTTTCATTGCTGTATTAAAAAGCCTTTTATAAAATACTTCACTTCATTATGTGTTTGTATTTTCAAAGCTGCATTAGGATCATAGGAATAAAATTGTATTTGTAAAGAAATAAAGTTCTGCCTAAGGTAGAAATATCACAACTAAACAACACTGAATGTTTTAAGCTTAATGGTAGAACGTGTTTCAATACCACAGTAAAGTTTCAATTATTATACGAGCTAAAATTGCAACATATTCTTTCAGCTCATGAAAAATAGTGCTTGATGAGTTTACAATGACTTTATGAGTTTTAACAGTACCGATTCAGAATCCATTATCTAACAAAGTAAAAACATTAAACTTGGTATAAGAATGAAGTTATTGTGATTCAGTTGATTTTTAGATAAATAACAATCCATCGCTTCCACAGGATATAGTTCCAAATATTAACAATTGAATCTCGTGCTACTGAACAGTAAATAAATTCTACTAACATGCGCCAACAGTGATTTCCTATATGATTTGTGGTTGTCAAAAAATACCCGGGCATTTTTAAAACAACCCTCAAAAAAGTAAATAATTACATTTATAATTCTTCAGTGATGTGGATATGATTGAGCCTTAGATTGACGGCGTCATTCATCAAAATACCACGTCAACTCTGACTAAAATATCGTTAAAATAACATCAGCGTTTTGTTTGTTTTGGGGGATTCATGTATAGAACTAATAGACTAGAGGAAAGGTAGCTATTCAACAGTACCCAGCGCCATCTCTTGGATTACTGTTGTCTGAATGACGAGTGGGATTTGACAGTCTCCCTTATAACTCACCCACGTTCCGAAAATTCGAAGTGGGATTTTTTACTGTTACGAGACTCATACGTTGAAGCCACAGTCCCATAGTTTGGTACCTTAAACACTGAACCGCGCATAGTCATGTATTGGAATAGTGTGTGCAAAAGAATAGAATTTAGTTAAAACTAAATATTTCAATTGCAGCAACGTTGATGGGAAAACTTGCAACATGTAGCCTTACTTATTTTAAGGCGAATGTCTTAAAAGGCTTAAACTTAAGAAAATATGTTGATAAACGTTGAAACAAAATTTCACTATTATTAATACCACAGACTCTGAGATATATATATATATAGAAAATTCACTATTATTAATACCACAGACTCT